GAAGAAGGAGAAGGATGAGAAGTAGGAGAAGGATGAGAAGAAGGATGAGAAGAAGGAGAAGGATGAGAAGAAGGACAGTTCTGTGACAGTTTCTGTCTATTTCTGACAGTTCTGTGACATTCACTCCATACAGCGGTTTCAACCGCTGTATGGAGGGAATGTCCCAGAACTGTCAGAAATAGTCTATTTCTGACAGTTCTGGGACATTCACTCCATACAGCGGTTGAAACATTGTATCTATTTGTTTCCATAAATGACATTCTGCAGATACACTTAGAGGAGCTCTGCAGATACACTTTTTGCCGGCTTGGAATTATTCTTATTTTCATCCTACTTCTTCTTCTTCTTCTTCTTCATCCTCATCCTCATCCTCTTCTTCTTCTTCTGAGGATGAGGATGAAGAAGAAGAAGAAGAAGAAGTAGGATGAAAATAAGATTAATTCCAAGCCGGCAAAAAGTGTATGTGCAGAGCTCCTCTAAGTGTATCTGCAGAATAGAGGAACTCTGCACATACACTTTTTGCCGGCTTGGAATTATTCTTATTTTCATCCTACTTCTTCTTCATCCTCACTCTTCTTCTTCTTCTGAGGATGAGGATGAGGATGAAGAAGAAGAAAAAGAAGAAGAAGAAGAAGTAGGATGAAAATAAGATTAATTCCAAGCCGGCAAAAAGTGTATGTGCAGAGCTCCTCTAAGTGTATCTGCAGAATAGAGGAACTCTGCACATACACTTTTTGCCGGCTTGGAATTATTCTTATTTTCATCCTACTTCTTCTTCTTCTTCTTCTTCTTCTTCATCCTCATCCTCATCCTCTTCTTCTTCTTCTGAGGATGAGGATGAAGAAGTAGAAGAAGAAGAAGAAGTAGGATGAAAATAAGAATTCCAAACCGGCAAAAAGTGTATGTGCAGAGTTCCTCTATTTCTGACAGTTCTCTGACAGCTTCTTCACATGTACAGCGGTTGAAACATCTGTATCCTAAATGGAAACTAATAGATACAATGTTTCAACCGCTGTACATGTGTTCCTTCTGTCAGAGAACTGTCAGAAATAGCGGAGCTCTCTGCAGGGACACTTTTGCCGGCTGATCGGGAAAAATCCGATTCGCGCACCCGAAGTAGGCAAATATTCGGATTCAACGCGAATAGAATTTTTCCTGAAATTCGTATCGAATTCCGGTTCACCTGGTTCGATTCGCTCATCTCTAATCCTAACCTTAGCTAGTTATCGGATTTCCATTTGTCTCCTCCCATTGTACTCTGCTAATGCGAGCGGTCTCCACATCCTCAGCTCGGCGTACCCGGGGGCCGCGACCTGGTTCCAGCTTGCTGCAAGTCCATCCCCACCATCAGGGGCTCTGGTGAAGAAGCAGGCTGGGGCTTAGACTCCGCGCCCTGGGGAACCCTGAGTTGGTGATCTACAAGGGCTCACCACCACAGGCGCTTGACAGAGGACCAGAGGGGTCTGCTGCCGGAGTCTGCGGAATGCAGAGATCAGGGGAGGTGGAGATGAGGGGGTGCTGCAGCTGCACAGAGAGGTGTGGGATCTGTAGGAGGATTTCTTTCTGCTGCCAAATGCTGAGACAAGGTGGGGAAGGTGTGCCGCCGCTACAAGAGAGGTTCGAGGGCCACATGAAAAGGCCTGCGGTGCAAATTTGGTCCATAGGACTTGTGTTTGACATGTGTGGTGTAGGAGTTTGTCTTTTTTTAGACTTATTGCAGAATAAACTAGAGTAGGATACAGGAACTTGTGGGATACTCCAAGCAATACTAAGAGGGCACTCTTCGCTTTGTCGATACGTCTTAGAACAGTCCATCGAAAAAAAGTCAAAGGACTGGGTAGCATAGAGACTCTGTAAGGATTGACCCAGTCCAAGCAAGCACTGGTACTGGTGCACTAGGGAATAGCAGCAGTCACTAGGATCCTAGACTCTAGTCTGTACTCACATTGACCCTGAATACTTTGATGTCCCCTTCCAATATCAGCCAGACATTCTCCCGTGAGCTCTCAAGACCAGATCTCCTGTGAAATCCTTTGATTGGTTGAAAAAAACCCACAGGAACTTAGACCACCCAGCTCTGACCTTGGAGCTGGGACCTTGGAGAGCACATGGAAACTTCTGATGAGCTGCTCAGAAGGGTAGCAGCCCTTCAGGCTGTGAACTTCTCCTCCTGGACAAGAACCAGGTGGTTCCGTGCCTCAGAATATTTATGCACTTTCCAGCCAACCAACTGGGCACTCCTCCCAAGGATTGGCTAAAACCACATAATATTCAGGCTGCTATTTGCCTTTCTCAAACAAACAAGGGATTTCCCAGCACACTTACCAGCCAGCCTGCAAAACAACCAAAGTGGCCTTGTCTAATAGTTTGCATTAAAAACAGAGGGTTTTGTTTGCACATACTTGCATATATATGCGTTAGATGAAGGGCAGGTATGCCTGGAGGGAGCCAAACCCTCCTTGAGATGAAAGTGACACCAAGCAAGAGCACAATGGCAGCAAGCAAAACCCTCTGATTTTAATGCAAACTGTTAGACAAGGCCACTTTTGTTGTTTTGCAGGCTGGCTGGTAAGTGTGGCTGGGAAATCCTTTGTTTGTTTGTGATGTGCCTTGCCCTAGCATGTGCACCTTGCTGCAAAGGGAAAATTATAGGTTGGGGTGGTTGCCAATTTTTTGCAAAGTTGGACAAATTGGGTGCAGGGACACACAGGATGCCTTTGCTGCCATTGTGCTCTTGCTGGGCATCACATAGGTCTTTGTGCCTTCAAGGAAGTGTGGGCTCCCTCCAGGCATACCTGCCCTTAATCTATCCATTCTTAACCACTTCCCGTCCGGCCCATGTATATAGTGCGCACACCGCTATCCGGTGCCCGCTGTGTCCTACGGACACAGTGGAACACTGATCATTGTACAGGACCTCTGTTTGAGGTCCCGATCATGTGATCACTGATTGGCCAATCAGTGATCATATGCAGAGTAGTAAGCAAGATGTCACTTCTGACATCATTGCTTACTACATGTGAAATCTGTGAATGATCACAGAGGTCACATGGTACAAGGCTATTCACAACAGCCTTGTACCATGTGACAAGCTGTGACCAATCACATCCCTCACAGTATTTCTCAATGGCTGCTAGAATGCAACCAGAGAGAAGGAGAAATGATTGCTTTTACAGCCTTTATGGGTGTAAAAGCGATCAGTGTAAAAAAACAAATCTTCATCACCACCCACAAGTAGTACAGCGTCACCATGGCGACACTACTGCTAGGGTGACAGTATGTAAAAAAAACAAAAAAAAAAAAAATAATATTATAAAAAAAATTAAATAAAAATGTAAAAAATGTTTTTGAAAAATTATAATTTTTGGTTATAAACTAATTTGGTTTATTTATTTTTTTTACTAAGAAGATAACTGAATACATTTTGGCCAAGATTTATGAAGAAAGATTATTTATTTGGAAAATTTTATAAGAAAAACACTTTTTGTTGAACATTTTTGGACTTTTTCATTTATATAGCAAAAAAAAAAAAAATCCCAGTGATGAATAAATACCACCAAAATAAAGTTTTATCTGTCTCAAAAAAAATGCTAAAAAATTCATATGGGTATAATGTTGCATGACCGCGTAATTGTCATTCAAAGTGTGATAGCGCTGAAAGCTGAAAATTGGCCTCGACAGGAAGGGGGTAAAAGTGTCCGGACTGGAAGAGGTTAAATGTGCTCCTACTATTGAAGGCTCTGGAAATTTAGAATTAGGACCGCAGTATATACAGGGGTCCCTTCACTTCCACAGTGTAGCATACACATTTATATTTGCAAATGTGTTCAAACAAAACCCTCTGTATTCAACGCAAACCGTTAGACAGGGACATTTGGTTGTTTTGCAGGCTGGCTGGTAAGTGTGCTGGGAAAGCCTTTGTTTTGTTTGTGATGTGCATTGCCCTTCCTTGTGCACTTTGCTGCTAAGGCTGGTTATAAGTTGGAGTGGTTGACGATTTTTTGTGCTTTTTGCCTTTTCCAGCCCACTACATTCTAGAATCCTCCAGAAGGTGGAGGAAAACAGTCAAACCTGCAGCCAATGAAACCCAGAACAGCCCAACGTAATCACAAACTGATTACAGAGGAGCCTGGGAGGGCGCTCTCTCTCTCTATCTTTCTCTCTTCCTGACCAACCTCACAACCTACCTGGGGGGGCTATCTCTCTCTCTCTCTCTGCCTGACCAACCTCACAACCTACCTGGGAGGGCTCTCTCTCTCTCTCTCCCTCCCTGACCAACCTCACAACCTACCTGGGAGGGTTCTCCCTCTCTATCTCTGCCTGACCAACCTCACAACCTACCTGGGGGGTTCTCTCTATCTTTCTCTCTCTCTCTGCCCGACCAACCTCACAACCTATCTGGGAGGGTTCTCTCTCTCTCTCTTTCTCTCTCTCTCTGCCTGGCCAACCTCACAACCTACCTGGGAGGGTTCTCTCTCTCTTTTCTCTCTTCCTGACCAACCTCACAACCTACCTGGGAGGGCGCGCTCTCTCTTTCTTAGCCGAAGTGGAATTCGAGTCGAATATCGGAAAAATTTCGATTCGCGCCGAATCCGAAAAAAATAGCCTAATTCGGACGCGCGAATCGAAATTTTCCGAAAATGGCGGCTGACATGTGCGGCGACGGAGCGGGGATGTCTGGGAAGGCGCGCAGACAAGGCGCGCTGACCCATAATGCATTCCTCAACGACATGTGATCGCATCAGCCAATCAGCAGCCAGCCAGCTAGCACTGTGTAATGGTCGAGCTATAAATAGCGGCCATTTTGGAATTCTTCATTTGCCTGCAGTCATTGAACAGAGGCAGACCGCTCTGTATTAGGGACAGGGACAGAGTTAGGGCCACAGAAACGATACTTGGGGACAGAGAAACGATACTTAGGGACAGAGAACTATTACTCAGGGACACAGAATTGTTAATTAGGGCCACAGAATCGTTACTTAGGGACAAAGAAACGCTAGTTAGGGCCACAGAATTCATACTCAGGGACAGACAGAATTGTTACTGAGTGCCAGAGAATTGTTATTAGGGCCACAGAAACGTTATTAGGGCCACAGAATTGTTACTCAGGGACAGACACAGAATTGTTACTGAGTGCCAGAGAATTGTTACTTAGGGCCACAGAAACGTTATTAGGGCCACAGAATTGTTACTCAGGGGACAGACAGAATTGTTACTGAGTGCCAGAGAATTGTTACTTAGGGCCACAGAAACGTTATTAGGGCCACAGAATTGTTACTCAGGGACAGACAGAATTGTTACTGAGTGCCAGAGAATTGTTACTTAGGGCCACAGAAACTTTAGTTAGGGCCACAGAATTGTTACTCAGGGACAGACACAGAATTGTTACTGAGGGCCACAGAACTGTTACTTAGGGCCACAGAATTGTTACTCGCACAGACACAGAATTGTTACTCGCACAGACACAGAATTGTTACTGAGGGCCACAGAACTGTTACTTAGGGCCACAGAATTGTTACTCGCACAGACACAGAATTGTTACACAGGGACACAGAACTGTTACTGAGGGCCACAGAACCGTTACTTAGGGCCACAGAATTGTTACTCGCACAGACACAGAATTGTTACTCGCACAGACACAGAATTGTTACTCGCACAGACACAGAATTGTTACTGAGGGCCACACAGAACTGTTACTTAGGGCCACAGAATTGTTACTCGCACAGACACAGAATTGTTACTCGCACAGACACAGAATTGTTACTGAGGGCCACAGAACTGTTACTTGGGGCCACAGAAACGTTACTCAGGGACACAGAATTGTTACTGAGGGCCACAGAAACTGTTACTTAGGGCCACAGAATTGTTACTCGCACAGACACAGAATTGTTACTCAGGGACACAGAACTGTTACTGAGGGCCACAGAACTGTTACTTAGGGCCACAGAATTGTTACTCGCACAGACACAGAATTGTTACTCGCACAGAATTGTTACTCGGGCACAGAATTGTTACTCGAGGGCCACAGAATTGTTACTCAGGGACACAGAATTGTTACTGAGGGCCACAGAATTGTTACTTAGGGCCACAGAATTGTTACTCGCACAGGGCACAGAATTGTTACTCGCACAGACACAGAATTGTTACTCAGGGACACAGAAGAATGTTACTGAGGGCCACAGAACTGTTACTTAGGGCCACAGAATTGTTACTCGCACAGACACAGAATTGTTACTCGCACAGGGACAGAATTGTTACTGAGGGCCACAGAACTGTTACTTGGGGCCACAGAACACGTTAATCAGAATTGTTACTGACAGGGCACAGAATTGTTACTGAGGGCCACACAGAACTGTTACTTAGGGCCACAGAATTGTTACTCGGGCACAGACAGAATTGTTACTCGCACAGACACAGAATTGTTACTGAGGGCCACAGAACTGTTACTTGGGGCACAGAATTGTTACTCAGGGACACAGAATTGTTACGAGGGACACAGAAGGGACACACAGAACTGTTACTTAGGGCCACAGAATTGTTACTCGCACACACAGAATTGTTACTCGCACAGACACAGAATTGTTACTGAGGGCCACAGAACTGTTACTTGGGGCCACAGAAAACGTTACTCAGGGACACAGAATTGTTACTGAGGGCCACAGAACTGTTACTTAGGGCCACAGAATTGTTACTCGCACAGGCCACAGAATTGTTACTCGCACAGACACAGAATTGTTACTGAGGGCCACAGAACTGTTACTGGGGCCACAGAAACGTTACTCAGGGACACAGAATTGTTACTGAGGGCCACAGAACTGTTACTTAGGGCCACAGAATTGTTACTCGCACAGACACAGAATTGTTACTGAGGGCCACAGAATTGTTACTGAGGGCCACAGAAACGTTACTTCAGGGACACAGAATTGTTACTGAGGGCCACAGAACTGTTACTTAGGGCCACAGAATTGTTACTCGGGACACAGAATTGTTACTCGCACAGACACAGAATTGTTACTGAGGGCCACAGAACTGTTACACAGAACTGTTACTTAGGGCCACAGAATTGTTACTCGCACAGACACAGAATTGTTACTCGCACAGACACAGAATTGTTACTCAGGGACACAGAACTGTTACTGAGGGCCACAGAAACTGTTACTTAGGGCCACAGAATTGTTACTCGCACAGACACAGAATTGTTACTCAGGGCCACACAGAATTGTTACTGAGGGCCACAGAACCGTTACTTAGGGCCACAGAATTGTTACTGAGGGCACAGAACTGTTACTTAGGGCCACAGAATTGTTACTCGCACAGACACAGAATTGTTACTCAGGGACACAGAACTGTTACTGAGGGCCACAGAACTGTTACTTAGGGCCACACAGAATTGTTACTCGCACAGACACAGAATTGTTACTCAGGGACACAGAACTGTTACTGAGGGCCACAGAACTGTTACTTAGGGCCACAGAATTGTTACTCGCACAGACACAGAATTGTTACTCAGGGACACAGAATTGTTACTGAGGGCCACAGAACCGTTACTTAGGGGGCACAGAATTGTTACTCAGGGACACAGAATTGTTACTGAGGGCCACAGAACTGTTTACTTAGGGCCACAGAATTGTTACTCGCACAGGGCACACAGAATTGTTACTCAGGGACACAGAACTGTTACTGAGGGCCACAGAACTGTTACTTAGGGCCACAGAATTGTTACTCGCACAGACACAGAATTGTTACTCAGGGACACAGAACACAGAACTGTTACTGAGGGCCACAGAACTGTTACTTAGGGCCACAGAATTGTTACTCGCAGACACAGAATTGTTACACAGGGGACACAGAATTGTTACTGAGGGCCACAGAACCGTTACTTAGGGACAGGGACACATAATGTGTTACTGAGGGCCACAGAACTGTTTACTGAGGGCCACAGAATTGTTACTCAGGACACAGAATTGTTACTCAGGGACACAGAATTGTTACTCAGGGACACAGAACTGTTACTGAGGGCCACAGAAACCGTTACTTAGGGCCACAGAATTGTTACTCAGGGACACAGGACACAGAATCGTTTAATTAAAGAGTATGTCAGACAACATGCAGAGTCAGTGGGAGGCAGCTGGGCAAGGTTTTTTTCGAGCGAGCAGACGTGGCAGCAGAGGAAGGGGTCGAGGCAGCACTATTCGCAGCCAGAGGCTAGTGCTCCCATTGGTGTCATCCAGTACAGTGAGGAAGAGCTAACAGAGGGCGGTCAGGAACGGGGGGAGACATCCGCCTCTTCAGCAGCCAGGCGAAGAAGTAGTGGCGAGGAGAGTGGCTCGGTAGCCGGTGTAGAGACACAGTCTGTCTCCTGACCCACACGCAGCCGAGGGGGCTAGTAGTGAGGCGGAGACCCTAATTGATGATGATGAGGCTGATCGCACTTGGCAGCCTCGTCGTCATCAGGCTATTGCTTCCGCATCATCAGGAGAAGAGGGTGGCAGCTTGGCAGCGAGCAAAACAGTCGGTGGGTTGTCTCCATCGCCACACTCTGCCATGTGCCACTTTCAGGTCTCCTCACACACTGCTGGTGTGTTGAATTTTTTGACATAGGGTGCTGGCAGATTACGGGCCTCCCATAGCTGCTGCCAGGCCCCTAATCTGCCATGGGCCCCTATACCGCCTCCTCATGCTGCTGCCAAGTCCAGAGTCTCTCATGGGTCCCTGTACGGCCTCCCATTTGCTGCTGCTGTCTCCATCGCCACACTCTGCCATGTGCCACTTTCAGGTCTCCTCACACACTGCTGGTGTGTTGAATTTTTTGACATAGGGTGCTGGCAGATTACGGGCCTCCCATAGCTGCTGCCAGGCCCCTAATCTGCCATGGGCCCCTATACCGCCTCCTCATGCTGCTGCTGCAGGTCCAGAGTCTCTCATGGGTCCCTGTACGGCCTCCCATTGCTCTGTCCATCGCCACACTCTGCCATGTGCCACTTTCAGGTCTCCTCACACACACTGCTGGTGTGTTGAATTTTTTGACATAGGGTGCTGGCAGATTACGGGCCTCCCATAGCTGCTGCCAGGCCCCTAATCTGCCATGGGCCCCTATATACCGCCTCCTCATGCTGCTGCCAGGTCCAGAGTCTCTCATGGGTCCCTGTTCGCCTCCCATTGCTGCTGTCTCCATCGCCACACTCTGCCATGTGCCACTTTCAGGTCTCCTCACACACTGCTGGTGTGTTGAATTTTTTGACATAGGGTGCTGGCAGATTACGGGCCTCCCATAGCTGCTGCCAGGCCCCTAATCTGCCATGGGCCCCTATACCGCCTCCTCATGCTGCTGCCAGGTCCAGAGTCTCTCATGGGTCCCTGTACGGCCTCCCATTGCTGCTGTCTCCATCGCCACACTCTGCCATGTGCCACTTTCAGGTCTCCTCACACTGCTGGTGTGTTGAATTTTTTGACATAGGGTGCTGGCAGATTACGGGCCTCCCATAGCTGCTGCCAGGCCCCTAATCTGCCATGGGCCCCTATACCGCCTCCTCATGCTGCTGCCAGGTCCAGTCTCTCATGGGTCCCTGTCCTCCACAGGGGAGGAACTTCTGAGTGTAATGAATGAACAGAGAAATCGACAGATGGCTGTCTCCGCGCAAACTGAAAATCGGAACCATGTTGACCGACAACGGAAAGAACATGGTGTCTGCTCTGCGTCAAGGAAGGTTGTGCCATGCGCCATGCATGCATGGCTCACGTGTTCAATCTGGTTGTCAAGCGGTTCCTAAAATCCACCATCCCACTGCAAGACATCCTTAAAATGTCACGTAAACTTTGCATGCATTTCAGCCATTCCTACACCGCAAAGCACACCCTCCTTGAGCTGCAGCGGCAGAACGGATTCCACACATCGCCTGATCTGCGACGTTTGCAACAAGGTGGAATTCAACCCTACACATGTTAGACAGGCCCCTTTACGAGCAGCGAAAGGCCATCACCGATTTCCTGATGTTACAAGCGGATAAAGGTACTCCCCTGTGTAACTTCGATGTCAGCCCATTGGCAGCTCATGCGTGACACCTGCCGCTTGCTCAGGCCCTTTGAGGAGGCCACGCTATTCGTGAGTCGGCAAGGACTAGGGATGAACGACGTCATTCCTCTGTTGCACGTCCTTGAACAAATGCTGTTAACAATGGCTGGTCAGGGTGCGGTAGACGTGGCGCACAGATCTCAACGCCACATGACCCCTGTGGGGGGAGGACAGGAAGAAGAGGAGGAGGTAGAGGAGGACATTTGGTGCTCAGGAATTATTGAGTGAAATGGGTGGTTTTTCCACTCAGCAGGACAGGAGTGCCAGGAGCAGGAGCATCTGCCAGGAGGAGGAGGAGGAGACAGAGGACCCAGACGCACCGTGGCAGTATGCTGTGGAGATGGAGGCAGGGTACGGCCCTCGCATTCCTTGGCACAAATGGCCCATAGCATGCTCGGTTGCTTGCTTAGCGACAGGTCGAATAATAACCATCAGACAGAGGGATGACTTTTGGCTGTCCACCTTGTTGGACCCTCGCTACCGTTCAAAAATGGTGGCCTTTTTCACACCTGCTGAGAGGGAGGCCAAAATAACGTACTATAAAAACCACCTATGTAGTCAGTTGGTCTCTGCCTTTGTGCGCCAACGTCCATCCTCAGACACTGTGGGCCCTGTGCGCTCGCGTTCCGCTGCCATGGCAGCAGGGGGGGGGGGGGGTGGTAGGAGCAGTGGCAGCTCCCACCAGCAGCGGCTGCCTCCTCAGTCTGCAGTCAGTCGATGATGAGTAGCTTTCTTCACCAGCGCAGTGAGGAAACTACTACCAGCCCAGCCAGCAGCAGCAGCAGCAGCATCAGGTGGACCTGGAGCAGGACTCAAACAACAGGCTTGGGCCTACTTGGACAGCACCCTGCCAACCGAGGTAGACAATCCCCTTGACTACTGGGTCAACGAAACTTGACCCTGGCCCCAACTAGCTGAATTTGCCCCATTGAAAGGCTGTCATGCCCGGCCAGTTCAGTCGCGTGGCATCGGAGCGCGTGTTTTTTTTGCGGCAGGAGGTATTGTAACTCCGGGAGGACACGACTGTCCCACCCCAAGTGTGGAGAGACTCACGTTTGTGAAAATGAATCAGGCGTGGATTAGTCTCATGATTTCAAACCACCAGTTCCTGACACAACTGACTAAATCCGCCATGAATCATGCCTCAAACATGTGCCACTTTCAGGTCTCCTCACACACTGCTGGTGTGTAGAATTTTTTGACATAGGGTGCTGGCAGATTACGGGCCTCCCATAGCTGCTGCCAGGCCCCTAATCTGCCATAGGCCCCTATATACCGCCTCCTCATGCTGCTGCCAGGTCCAGAGTCTCTCATGGGTCCCTGTACGGCCTCCCATTGCTGCTGTCTCCATCGCCACACTCTGCCATGTGCCACTTTCAGGTCTCCTCACACACTGCTGGTGTGTTGAAATTTTTTGACATAGGGTGCTGGCAGATTACGGGCCTCCCATAGCTGCTGCCAGGCCCCTAATCTGCCATAGGCCCCTATATACCGCCTCCTCATGCTGCTGCCAGGTCCAGAGTCTCTCATGGGTCCCTGTACGGCCTCCCATTGCTGCTGTCTCCATCGCCACACTCTGCCATGTGCCACTTTCAGGTCTCCTCACACACTGCTGGTGTGTAGAATTTTTTGACATAGGGTGCTGGCAGATTACGGGCCTCCCATAGCTGCTGCCAGGCCCCTAATCTGCCATGGGCCCCTATATACCGCCTCCTCATGCTGCCAGGTCCAGAGTCTCTCATGGGTCCCTGTACGGCCTCCCCATTGCTGCTGTCTCCATCGCCACACTCTGCCATGTGCCACTTTCAGGTCTCCTCACACACTGCTGGTGTGTAGAATTTTTTTTTGACATAGGGTGCTGGCAGATTACGGGCCTCCCATAGCTGCTGCCAGGCCCCTAATCTGCCATAGGCCCCTATATACCGCCTCCTCATGCTGCTGCCAGGTCCAGAGTCTCTCATGGGTCCCTGTACGGCCTCCCATTGCTGCTGTCTCCATCGCCACACTCTGCCATGTGCCACTTTCAGGTCTCCTCACACTGCTGGTGTGTAGAATTTTTTGACATAGGGTGCTGGCAGATTACGGGCCTCCCATAGCTGCTGCCAGGCCCCTAATCTGCCATAGGGCCCCTATATACCGCCTCCTCATGCTGCTGCCAGGTCCAGAGTCTCTCATGGGTCCCTGTACGGCCTCCCATTGCTGCTGTCTCCATCGCCACACTCTGCCATGTGCCACTTTCAGGTCTCCTCACACTGCTGGTGTGTAGAATTTTTTGACATAGGGTGCTGGCAGATTACGGGCCTCCCATAGCTGCTGCCAGGCCCCTAATCTGCCATAGGCCCCTATATACCGCCTCCTCATGCTGCTGCCAGGTCCAGAGTCTCTCATGGGTCCCTGTACGTACGGCCTCCCATTGCTGCTGTCTCCATCGCCACACTCTGCCATGTGCCACTTTCAGGTCTCCTCACACACTGCTGGTGTGTGTTGAATTTTTTGACATAGGGTGCTGGCAGATTACGGGCCTCCCATAGCTGCTGCTGCAGGCCCCTAATCTGCCATGGGCCCCTATATACCGCTCCTCATGCTGCTGCCAGGTCCAGAGTCTCTCATGGGTCCCTGTACGGCCTCCCATTGCTGCTGTCTCCATCGCCACACTCTGCCATGTGCCACTTTCAGGTCTCCTCACACACTGCTGGTGTGTTGAATTTTTTGACATAGGGTGCTGGCAGATTACGGGCCTCCCATAGCTGCTGCCAGGCCCCTAATCTGCCATAGGCCCCTATATACCGCCTCCTCATGCTGCTGCCAGGTCCAGAGTCTCTCATGGGTCCCTGTACGGCCTCCCATTGCTGCTGTCTCCATCGCCACACTCTGCCATGTGCCACTTTCAGGTCTCCTCACACTGCTGGTGTGTGTGTGTAGAATTTTTTGACATAGGGTGCTGGCAGATTACGGGCCTCCCATAGCTGCTGCCAGGCCCCTAATCTGCCATAGGCCCCTATATACCGCCTCCTCATGCTGCTGCCAGGTCCAGAGTCTCTCATGGGTCCCTGTACGGCCTCCCATTGCTGCTGTCTCCATCGCCACACTGCCATGTGCCACTTTCAGGTCTCCTCACACACTGCTGGTGTGTTGTAGAATTTTTTGACATAGGGTGCTGGCAGATTACGGGCCTCCCATAGCTGCTGCCAGGCCCCTAATCTGCCATGGGCCCCTATACCGCGCTCCTCATGCTGCTGCCAGGTCCAGAGTCTCTCATGGGTCCCTGTACGGCCTCCCATTGCTGCTGTCTCCATCGCCACACTCTGCCATGTGCCACTTTCAGGTCTCCTCACACTGCTGGTGTGTAGAATTTTTTGACATAGGGTGCTGGCAGATTACGGGCCTCCCATAGCTGCTGCCAGGCCCCTAATCTGCCATAGGCCCCTATATACCGCCTCCTCATGCTGCTGCCAGGTCCAGAGTCTCTCATGGGTCCCTGTACGGCCTCCCATTGCTGCTGTCTCCATCGCCACACTCTGCCATGTGCCACTTTCAGGTCTCCTCACACACTGCTGGTGTGTAGAATTTTTTGACATTTTGACATAGGGTGCTGGCAGATTACGGGCCTCCCATAGCTGCTGCCAGGCCCCTAATCTGCCATGGGCCCCTATAATACCGCCTCCTCATGCTGCTGCCAGGTCCAGAGTCTCTCATGGGTCCCTGTACGGCCTCCCATTGCTGCTGTCCAGGTCCATCGCCACTCTCTGCCATGTGCCACTTTCAGGTCTCCTCACACTGCTGGTGTGTTGAATTTTTTGACATAGGGTGCTGGCAGATTACGGGCCTCCTATAGCTGCTGCCAGGCCCCTAATCTGCCATAGGCCCCTATATACTATATACCGCCTCCTCATGCTGCTGCCAGGTCCAGAGTCTCTCATGGGTCCCTGTACGGCCTCCCATTGCTGCTGTCTCCATCGCCACACTCTGCCATGTGCCACTTTCAGGTCTCCTCACACTGCTGCTGTGTGTTCCATTTTTTGACATAGGGTGCTGGCAGATTACGGGCCTCCCATTGCTGCTGCCAGGCACGTAATCTGCCATGGGCCCCCGTACCGACTCCTCATGCTGTGACGTTGCAACAAGGTGGAATTCAACCCTACATATGTTAGACCGCCTTTACGAACAGCGAAAGGCCATCACAGATTTCCTGATGTTAAAAGCGGATAAAGGTACTCCCTGTGTAACTTAGATGTCAGCCATTGGCAGCTCATGCGTGACACCTGCGCTTGCTCAGGCCCTTTGAGGAGGCCACGCTATTCGTGAGTCGGCAGGACTATGGGATGAACGACGTCATTCCTCTGTTGCACGTCCTGGAACAAATGCTGTTAACAATGGCTGGTCAGGGTGCGGTAGACGTGGCGCACAGATCTCAACGCCACATGACCCCTGTGGGGGCAGGACAGGAAGAAGAGGAGGAGGTAGAGGAGGACATTGGTGCTCAGGAATTATTGAGTGAAATGGGTGGTTTTTCCACTCAGCGGACAGGAGTGGAGGAGCAGGAGCATCTGGTAGAGGAGGAGGAGGAGGAGGAGACAGAGGACCCAGACGCACCGTGGCAGTATGCTGTGGAGATGGAGGCAGGGAGTCCCTCGCATTCCTTGGCACAAATGGCCCATAGCATGCTCGGTTGCTTGCGTAGCGACAGCCGAATAATAACCATCAGACAGAGGGATGACTTTTGGCTGTCCACCTTGTTGGACCCTCGCTACCGTTCAAAAATGGTGGCCTTTTTCACACCTGCTGAGAGGGAGGCCAAAATAACGTACTATAAAAACCACCTATGTAGTCAGCTGGTCTCTGCCTGTCTGCTGCGCCAACGTCCATCCTCAGACACTGTGGGCCCTGTGCGCTCGCGTTCCGCTGCCATGGCAGCAGGGGAGGGGTGGGGTGGTAGGAGCAGTGGCAGCTCCACCAGCAGCGGCTGCCTCAGTCTGCAGTCGATGATGAGTAGCTTTCTTCACCAGCGCAGTGAGGAAACTACTAACCAGCCGCAGCAGCAGCAGCAGCAGCAGCAGCATGGGTGGACCTGGAGCAGGACCTCAAACAACAGGCTTAGGCCTACTTGGACAGCACCCTGCAACCGAGGTAGACAATCCCCTTGACTACTGGGCAACGAAACTTGACCTTTGGCCCCAACTAGCTGAATTTGCCCTTGAAAGGCTGTCATGCCCGGCCAGTAGCGTGGCATCGGAGCGCGTGTTTAGTGCGGCAGGAGGTATTGCAACTCCGCGGAGGACACGACTGTCCACCCAAAGTGTGGAGAGACTGACGTTTGTGAAAATGAATCAGGCGTGGATTAGTCTGGATTTCAAACCACCAGTTCCTGACACAACTGACTAAATCCGCCATGAATCATGCCCCAAACATGTGCCACTTTCAGGTCTCCTCACACTGCTGGTGTGTTACATTTTTTGTCATAGGGTGCTGGCAGATTACGGGCCTCCCATAGCTGCTGCCAGGCCCCTAATCTGCCATGGGCCCCTATACCGCCTCCTCATGCTGCTGCCAAGTCCAGAGTCTCTCATGGGTCCCTGTACGGCCTCCCATTGCTGCTGTCTCCATCGCCACTCTGCCATGTGCCACTTTCAGGTCTCCTCACACTGCTGGTGTATTCCATTTTTTGTCATAGGGTGCTGGCAGATTACGGGCCTCCCATAGCTGCTGCCAGGCCCCTAATCTGCCATGGGCCCCTATACCGCCTCCTCATGCTGCTGCCAGGTCCAGAGTCTCTCATGGGTCCCTGTACGGCCTCCCATTGCTGCTGTCTCCATCGCCACACTCTGCCATGTGCCACTTTCAGGTCTCCTCACACTGCTGGTGGGTTCCATTTTTTGTCATAGGGTGCTGGCAGATTACGGGCCTCCCATAGCTGCTGCCAGGCCCCTAATCTGCCATGGGCCCCCGTACCGACTCCTCATGCTGCTGCCAGGCCCGTAATCTGTCATGGGCCCCTGTTGTCGCTTGTTGGCATATTCCGCTCGTTCAGATGCTCCTTCTCCTGCTACTCCTCTTCACGGATTCCGTCAGCAGTCTTTCTTGGAATCCGTTTTCCAAGAGACAACAGTTTGCGAGACGCACCAGACGGTGCAGAAGCTGAACGTCCTCCTGTCCAAGTTGCTGCTGCCAGGCTCGTAATCTGTCATGCGCCCCTGTACCGCCTCCTCCTCATGCTGCTGCCAGGTCCAGAGTGTGTCATGGGCCCCCGTACCGACTCCTCATGCTGCTGCCAGGCCCGTAATCTGTCATGGGCCCCTGTACCGCCTCCCATGCTGCTGCCAGGTCCAGAGTGTGTCATGGGTCCCTGTACGGCCTCCCATTGCTGCTGCCAGGCCCGTAATCTGCCATGGGCCCCCGTACCGACTCCTCATGCTGCTGCCAGGCCCGTAATCTGACATGGGCCCCTGTACCGCCTCCTCATGCTGCTGCCAGGTCCAGAGTGTGTCATGGGTCCCTGTACGGCCTCCCATTGCTGCTGTCTCTATCGCCACACTCTGCCATGTGCCACTTTCAGGTCTCCTCACACTGCTGGTGGTTTCCATTTTTGTCATAGGGTGCTGTATGGCCTCCCATTGCTGCTGCCTCCACCGCCACACTGTGGCTCCACACTCTGGTTTTGGCCCCGTGACTGCCCAAATGAGTGAAGTGTGCGGTGATTCTAAGATCGACGGCACTCATCTGCATGTCATACTGACTGACAGTATTATTTTTCTTCCCCAGCAGACTCCAAGGGCATTTAAATTAAAGGTACAGTGTTCTGCACTAATATTAAGTCTCTCTGAAGCCTAGAAACACCCTTTTTTAAGTTAAATTCACAGCGAATATATTCGACTCGAATCAAAATTTTTCCACGAATTCGCCGAATCAGTCGAATCGAATTTTTGAATACTTCGCTCATCTCTACTCACAACCTACCTGGGAGGGTGCTCTCTCTCTATATATACTGTACATAGATTACACTTATTGGCTACTTTATTAGGTACACCTTGCTAGTAAACTGTATTAATTCTTTGTGACATAAATT